GGAATGTTGTCAGGGCACATAGCCTTTGCGGTATCCAGTGTCTCCAAATGTTTCTTGATATCACGTGGAGTGAATCGAATTGGCTGAAGACTGGTATCTGTAATGCTGGGGTCCACTGGAGGAGGCCGAGATGGATCATCCACTCGGCACTTCTGGCTGAAGATTGCTGCGAATGCTTCAGCCTTATCTTTTGCACTGATGTGCTGGGCTCTTCCATCATTGAGGCTGGGGATATCTGTGGACCTTCCTCCTCCAGTGAGTTGTTTAATTCTCCCCCACCATTCACAACTGGATGTGGCAGGACTGCAGAGCTTCGATCTAATCCGTTGGTTGTGGGATCACTTAACTCTGTCTATCACTTGCTGCTTTCGCTGTTTGGCGTGCAAGTAGCCCTGTTTGGTAGCTTCACCAGGTTGGCACCTCATTTTCAGGTATGCCTGGTGCTGCTCCTGGCATGCCCTCCTGCACTCTCCGTTGAACCAGGGTGATCCCCTGGCCTGATGGTAATGGTTGAGTGGGGGATATGCTGGGCCATGAGGTTACAGATTGTGTTGGAGTACAATTCTGCTGCTGTTGATGGCCCACAGCGCCTCATGGATCCTAAAGGAAAGGAAGAGAAAAAGAGGGGGTTCTCCAAGCTAGTGTTATTTCGTGGGATGGCATGCAAATTTACTGAGGCCAGAAATTGCCCCTTGAACTGAGTGTTGCATGAGGGGCGTTTCAGAGGGGTGTAAACAGCTGACCACAAGGGCTGTGGGGGTCTGGAAACCACGCGTGTGCCCAGCTTTGGTTAGGGATGGCAGATTTTCTTCATGAAACGGGCATCAGTGAACCCGATGGGTGTTTTTCGTGACACCAACCGCCAACGGTTCTGCAGCCACCATTGCTTGAGCGCTGCCTTCCTATTCCAGAATTGAGGAATCTGCCAGCTCCCCAGGTGGGATTCGGGCCCCCATGTGACCGAAGTAATACCCGCTACTAGCCCAGTGACGTGACCACATTGCGTCAGCGCCTCCTGCTGGCGCTGAGTGTTAGGAGGTCAGTTTTCTTCTTGGATCTTGGGAGAGTCAAGTGACGCCCAACCCCCAACCCACCCACCTCACCACCGTCCTGTGTCCCCTCCCCCTGGCTGCTCACCTCCTCTCCGGTGCCCTCCATGGCATCAACAGGGATGGCATAGATCTTGTTGTGCACTTCTGCCACCCGACGCTTCCCGCTCCGAAGCTTCACCAGCAACACCCGGAAATTTGTCCCGCCAAGGTCGAGGGCCAAGAAGTCTCCATTTTCTGTTGGGAATGCCGAGGGTGGGGGAGGCGGGTCAGAAAGGGAGGAACGCGTCTTTGGAATCACGTCACAGCAACGCAAGTTGGAGAATGATGAGGGAGGAATGCCTGCGGCATTGCTCCTTCCAAGCGCACAGAGCAAACACCAACTGCCACCCATTCTGCCAACCCCGCACCCCCCCCACCATTCCAAGATGGAGACCCAGGAAGTCTCCCTTTTCTAGTGGGTGGGGGAGAAAAGGAGCAACGGTCGTCAGGAAAACCAGCGAGTGGCGAGGGAGGATCGCCTGTGGCATTGCTCCATCCAAGTGCACGGATTAAACATCAACCACGCCCCAACTCGCCTACTATCCCCCCCTCCAAGATCGAGGGCCAGGAAGACTCCTTTTTCTGGAGGTTGGGTGGAGCAGAAAGGAAGGAGAGGTTGTCATGAACCATCAGCCAGTGCAGGTTGGAGAGTGGCGACAGAGGATCACCTGTGGCGTTGCTCCTTCCAAGTGCACCAACCGTGTTTCCTATCCCGCCAACCGCCAAGTCGAGAGGCGGAATCCTCCCCCATCCCAAACTTCACATCACCGTATCCCCAAATTCCGCGGCACGCCGGTCCCAGGGCACAGAGTGGGAAGTTGGGTTTGGCCCTCAGGAGGCAGGAATGACCGAGAGACAAACCTCGTAAGTCTTGAGGGTATGGAGGGGGAGGTTTGAGAGGCCGAGAGCGCACTAGGATCAAAGAGTAGGCTCATCAACCTTCTGCACACCCCCCAATACTTAGAAAAAACAACTGAGGAGGGTGACCCCACAGGGAGGGCTCGAGCACACCCAGAGAAACTTGGGGTAAGATTGAGATTCAAATTGGGGAGAGGGGGATAAATCTTGATCGTAACGCACACATCACAAACCCCCACCCCATGCCCCCCAGTAATTTTGCTCATCCCTACCTGTCCCGTTGGGCGTGGAGCGGACGTAGGTGGGCAGCATTTTGACAGACGCAGCAGCGTGCCCATCCCTGGCCAGGCCACGCTCCATCTCCGCCTGCATGCGCCGCTTCACCTCAAGGAGCTGCTCCTCGCTCAGCACCAGGGCACCTAGCGTCGCCTCCTGCTGCTCCCGCTGCTTGGCCAGGCGGGATGCCACCGCCGTTACCATGGCGGCGCCCTTGCCGCTGCCGTCCTCGGAGGGCAGGAAGCGGACGTCGCACGACGGGACGAGGCGACGCACAGCCTTGTGCAGACGCCGGGCAAACCTGGGCAAGAAACAAGGCCGGCATGAGAGGAAGGAGGAGAAATCTCCAAGTAGGCCTCAGGCTTGACCCCGCGAGAGTGTGAGAGATGGGCATGGTGGGCAAAGACTTGGCAATATGCCAACAATTGGGGGAGGGGGGGCACAAATGGAGGAAGAATTAGCGTAAATTTGGCATTAGAATAGTTAGGCTCTTGACTGATTGAGTCAACGAATCAAAAGACCTTTCCTGTACTCTATACTTGGCGCTCTCTCTTGTTTAATTAGGGGAATTATTTGAAAGCGAGACACTGCAGAACACGGGGATTTGGGAATCCTTGTCCAAAGCTAGCATTCAAGTTGAGCCAGGAATAGGGAAAACAAATGGAATGTTGACTTTTATTTCAAAAGGGAATTGAGTATAAAAGTGGGGAGGTTTCACTAAAACTGTACAAGGCCACAACTGGGAATACTGTAAACAGTTTTGGGGCCCTGTATCCAAGCAGAGATAGACTGGCCCTTGGAGGCAGACCAGAGTAGGTTCACTCGGCTGATCCCGGGTATGGAGCGACTGTCTTATGGGGAGAAGTTGAGTAGGTCGGGACCTGTACTGATTTAGAGGAATGAGAGGTGACCTTATTGAAACAGACAAGATTCTTAAAGGGACTTGACAGGGGGAGATGTGGAGAGAGTTGTTTCCCCTTGTGGGAGAGTCTAGGACCAGAGGGTGTAATCTCGGAATAAGGGGTTATCCATTGAAGATGGAGATGAGAAGGAATTTCTTCTCCCGAGGGGAGTGAATCTGTGGAATTCTTTACCAGCGAGGGCTGTAGGGACTGGGGTCATGAAATATATTCAAGGCCAAGGCAGGTTGATAAAGCAGGAAGGGTTTGACGAGGGATTAGAGGAAGTGGAGTCGGGGACGGCTACATCAGTTACAGCAGACCTGATGGGCAGGGTGGTCTATTTCGCCTCCAATGGTGGCAGTTTTATGAGGTGAGGGGACTAACCAGCTCGTGCCAGTCCGAGGGGGGAGGGCAGTGAACTGCCAGGTTCTCATGAGGGCATTGGCCCGACCCTCATCGCCGACATCGTGCCAGTGAAGATGCCAAGCTTACTGTGGGTGCTTCTTGTAGACGGACCCGTCCACTCCCACCGTGGTCCTCAGCCTCTCGAGCTCTTTGTTCTCCTTGATCCGCCTCAGGACCGCTGCCAGAGTGGCGGCACAGAGATCCGATGAGCGACTCGACACGACGGTGCAGACCCGCTGGGTGGCCACGCAGTCGTCGACGCTGGCTTGGA